TCGAGTAGTACTATCGAAGGGAATGCGACGCCCCCCGATACCACCGCCGCGAAGAAAATACACGATGCCGATGAAACGAGCCCTCTGCTTCCTTCGCAGCGTCCCCGACGCGTGACGAGACCAGTAGTATGGCGTCCTTACTACATGCTCAAGTCTACGCTGCAATACCAGCCTCGACCCATTCCTGTCGTCAACAAAACACTGCCCACCAACGCCGTCTCGTTGCTCGTCCTCGCTTGGATCGGCTTGAACATCTTCTACAACTTCTACCGCATGCCGCTCTCCTTCATGTACCTCTTCGTCTTCGCCGACCGATGCGGTATCATTTTCATCACGAACCTGCCCCTTCTATACCTCCTCGCTGCGAAGAACCAGCCGATAAAGTTGTTGACGGGATACTCGTATGAGAGTCTTAATATCTTCCATAGGAGAGTAGGAGAGCTCGTGTGTCTAGAAGCATTCCTGCATTTCCTCGGTATGGTGGCTGTGTGGTATGGCATGTTGAGGCATCTGGGTTTTACGCTGGCGAGATTCATATTCAACCGCGTTGTGCTGTTAGGTCTAGCCGCGCTGATTGCGTATGAGTTGATCTACTTCACGAGCTTGGGAAGCTTCCGAAAGCGGTGGTATGAGATCTTTCTGGGCCTACACATCGTACTTCAGGTCGCTGGATTGGTTTTCCTATGGTTTCATCATCACACCTCACGGCCATACGTTGGCGTGTCCCTCGCCATCTTCCTCATCGATCGACTAGTCTACCGTATGTGGCTGAAGTCCAGCACCCACCCCGCAACACTAGAAATCCTGGAAGATGACGAGACCCTGCTGCTTTCAGCAAACTGGGAAGTCGACACGAAGAAATCCGCGGTCCCAGCCAAGAACATGACACAAGGCTGGAAACCAAACGAACACATCTTCATCTCCGTCCCATCTCTCTCCCGCAAACACGGCATCCAATCCCACCCCTTCACCATCTTCTCCGCCGCCCCAACAACATCAACGCAAGACGGCCAAGAAAAACATGCCTGGTTCTCCCTCCTCATCCGCGCCCAATCCGAACCAGGTTTCACACATAGCCTTCTCCGCCACGCCCGCGCCTCCCCAAACCCAACAACACGACTCCGCATCCGCCTCGACGGCCCCTACGGCTCATCCCACGCCCTCGACCTTCTAGAATCCTCCTCAACAGCCATTCTCATCGCAGGCGGATCCGGCATAGCAGTCGCCTACCCCCTCCTCTACGCCCTCTTACAACCCTCGCCCACCGACCCAGAAAGCACACTCAGATCCCAGAGAAAAGTAAAGTTACTCTGGATAACGCATTCGCTCGACCACCGTCTTTGGATCCCAGAAGATAAATTAAAGGAGTTAGAAGATTGGGGGTTGGATGTCCTCATTACGCCGCCGACGGTACTTGCCGGGCGACCGGATGCTGGTGGTATTGTGAGGGAGTGGGTTGAAGAGGAGGATGTGAATGGGAACGCGAGGACTGGTGTTGTGGTTAGTGGACCGGATGGCTTGGTTAGAGATGTACGGAATACGTGTGCGGAGTTGATTTGGAGCGGGAGGGATGTCGATGTTCAGGTTGAGAAGTTTGGATGGTAGATGCTCTTTCATCTTGGAAATATCTGTGGAGTTGGTAGGTTTTCTTGTTCTCTGGAGTTCGTGATAGACGGGGTGGGTGGGGCTTTTGCTTTTGCTTTTGCTTTTGCTTCTGCTGGTCTCTTCAACATTCGCCATAGCGTTCTTTGTTGTAAGGGAAGAGAGAGCTTGTGGGGAGGGGGGGTAGAAGTGGCGATGGGTATGCCATATCCGAGTATTGACTAGGTGGACGCTTATGACGGTTCTGATGACAAAATGATCATTTGATCATTCACATGTTTCAAATGATCGTTGTGTCATCAGAACCGCCACAAGCGTCCACCTCGAGAAGACTGGGACGGAGCTCATGGTGATTGATGGTCACTAACCCTATACCATCGTACGAATCAATCCACGTAGTTGCCCACCCAAGCAACCGGGTGGATTGGATCGTACGAAGTTATCAGCTTCAACGCAGTCTACTCGTAGTGAATACTCGGGCATAGCATTGAGAGTAGAAGGCCCAGTTATCTTCCGTGTCAAGACCCATCAGGCGAAACCATCTCATCTATGTTTATACAACCGTTTCCTCACTGAATGCTAATGCCTGTCCCCTAAGTTTGTGATAGACTAGGTGGGTAGAAGTTCTGCTTTGCGCTTGTTGTCTGGTCTTGTCACATTGGCTTTGGCGGTCACCTGTGAGAAAGACAGAGAGAGAGAGAGAGAGAGCATTTGGGGGATGACAGTGGCGATGAGTAGCCCTGTTTGAGTATCCACTACGTGTGCGATTCCATCAGAGCTGATGATATCCCTATACCACTTGGCTAATCGAGTAGTACGAGTATATCATCAGCTCGGCATGGAATCGCACACGTAGTGGATACTCGGACAGGGCATTGGGATTAGAAGACGCAAGCATCTCCAATCTTAGACCCATCAGCTAGAACCGTATCGTCTATCTTTATAAATACGTTTCCCCACTAAACGCCAATGCTTGTCCCTAAAACGCCCACGCCAATGCGACTAGCCCAGAGTAGCCTTGCATATCCAAGCCCTCCATGTATACACCTCAGCCATCCGCAATGAAACTCGTGACCCGGGGTTAAATCTACCGTCCCCGAGCGATATCCCTAGTCTCCTTCTTCTTCTTCAGATACGCACTAATCTGCTCCACCTGACTGACAAAGAAACAGCGATTCGCGTCGTTCTGCCACACAAGCACACCGAGCGCACCCGCATACCCCAGCACATCCCTGTACTCTGATTCGGAGCCGAATTCGCGCATCAAGTACCCCGTCGTAGTCTCCACACGCTCGCCTTCGTATTCCCAAAGCCGGATCTGGTCCATGACCGTAGGCGGGATGAAGGGAATAGTCTTCTGCATCTGAGGATGCGCGTAGGTCGTCAGATAGGAGATGATTTGGCTCGACGTGATGCCTGATTGAACGGCTTTGTGGACGGATTCTTTGGTGAGTTTGCCGGAGACGAGGTTGGGGAAGCGATGTTGGAGTTTGGTGAAGAGGGATAAGATGGCGATTTGGATGAGGCTGTTTGTGTAGGCGTAGAGGCGATAGTTTGTTTCGATGATGATGAAGCCCTTGTTTGCGGATGCCGAGGGGCCGGCGTTGCCTTGGGAGGCTTGGGCGATGTCGTTGGAGGAGGCGGACATGGCGCTGCCGGAATCTGAGGTCAGGGTTGTGGCGAGGCGCGTGGGGTAGAAGGTTCGCGCGTTCTTGTCCGAGCGGTAGACAAGGCCCATGGAGGAGAGGTCCTCGAGCATCTGGGATTGGGTGGGGGAGAGGGTGGATGTGGAATAGTCTTGGCCTAGTTCTAGGGAACCAAGCATGAAGAGGAAGGATAACACTTCGGTTTCGGACATGCCGAGCTGGGGGTCGATGTCAGATTCGGTGTTCGATGGCGTCGGCTGAGCTCGAAGAGGACAGTCGTCGCAGGGTTCGTGGGGTTCAATACTTACTTCGTTGGTCATTTTCAGGTAGACGATGAGCAGACTCCAGACTTGGGCGTTCGTCTCTTGCAGCACAAAAGAGAAGCCGTCTTTGGTAATCCTTGGACTTCCATGTACGGTCCTCACAAGGTCACCGGTATGTAGCAGCTTCTTCGTTCCAGGACCGACTTCTGCTCTCTCGATGCTGTCTCTGCTAAGTCCAGCCGCGCCGCTCACCAAGTAATAGAGTATACCCTCCCATTGCGATCGCGAGTATTCGTCGAGGAAGTCGATGCTTAACCGCTTTCCGCCGCTCTCTTCTCTGGTCGCCGGCACACCGAACGAGCGGTGCGTGCCGGAGCCCTCGAGGGCGTGTCGCAGGCTGCCTTGAAAGTCTTTGCTGAGTGTCCACGAGAAGGTACCGTCGTCCTGTTTAGCTGGGGCAATGATGTGTAGGCGTTCGAGGGTAAAGAGAGCCTGTTCCTTCTCTTTCCTAGCGGAAGGCTTGAACCAGGCGTCCATGTCGGCTACGGGGAAGGATGAGGGTCTGTAGAGCATCGCAAAGACTATGGATTTGGCTGTGGCTCCGTTAGCGACAGGATTGCGGACGTAATAAATGCACTCACCAAGATGCGGAAGCATGCAGCGGAGCACCGCCAACACGGTGGAAGGCTGCTCATACAGCCGCCGGTGTGTCGCGACAGGCAGACCCTCGAGGTATTCCAGCGCCTGAGATGAAGATGAAGCCGACATCGTGGGGGATGTGGAGAGGAGGATGTCGGTCTACCGCCGTATTATCATGTTCGGAGAGAAAGGGTCCACGAGTTTGGGCGGTAGCGACGCGTGGGTCGCGCAAGTGGAAGTCGCAGGTCGCCAATCGCCAAAGAAAGTTGATGACGCGCCGAGCGAGCGGAAAGCTCACCCCACAAATTCCGCTCCACCCTGGTCTAGCTTCCGAGGTACGTGGGCAACTGCCGAGCGGAACATCGACATCACTCTTCGCACATCGCGGGGTGAGCATCAATCATGCCGGCGCTGAAGTTTGTGAGATCTGTGAGTTAACCAACCATGTCATTGACCAACCTCATAGATTTTCTAACGTGTTGCTAGGTCTGGGAGTCGTTCCGAGCGAACTCGGGCCTGGAGCCAAGGTACCGCCAACACCTAAGCATGTATACACGAAGCTAATAAAAGCGACACGAAAGACTACTAGACGGTGTAGGTTATGAGAGTTTATAGCTCTGGTACACTGTCATGCTAACACTAATTCTAGCTCCGAGTGACCTCGGCAGTCCCAGGACGCGTCAAGTTCGAGCTAGACATCCAGAAAGAGCACACAGTAAGTACAGAGACTACACGGCTATACTAATCTCAAAGCACTACAGCAGTCTCAATTTATATATAGTGGTTGATTGTAACTGACATGTCTCATTAGAACCGCCTCAACATCCTCCATGGCGGCACAATAGCTAGCATGGGTAAGTCGCCCCTCCAAAACCCCCCACTCAAACACCAGAATCTCACAACCCCACCCAGTCGACCTCGGCGGCTCCCTAGCAGTAGCCTCCCGCGGCCTCTTCGCAACCGGCGTATCAACCGATCTAAACGTAACCTACCTCTCCTCAGGCGGCAAGATCGGCGACTTGATCAAGGCCGAGGTGACGTGTGACAAGTGTAAGTTCATCATATTGGCATGATTTGCTCAAGATACCCGATCGCTGATTACATCGCTCTAGTCGGTAAAACACTCGCTTTCACGTCCATAAACTTCAGCAACAGCAAGGGAGAGGTCTTCGCCAGGGGAAGTCATACCAAGTACGTTGCGTTGGCGTGGAAAGACCCAAACAACACCGTCGAGGAGCTTTCGCCAAAGCCGGAGAAGAAAGAGTAGAGGCACAGATACGGCGAATATGATATGAGGCCTGATTACAGCACTAGGAATATATACGTCTTGTCCTGGGCCTAGTCGATAGGCTTGGGCTTAGCGGCCCGGGGACGAGCTGCTCTTGAAAATCACTTCGAATTGTTGGGAGACCTCATCGTTCGATCTTCCAACAATTCGAAGCAATTTCCAAGAGCGTCTCGATCTCGGATTGCTAAGCCCAAGCCTATCGGATAAGCCGTTAGAGACCGCGGGCAAACAAGGGCTTACTGATTTGTGAATAATGTACGTGTGAAAGCTACAAAAAGCTTTAAACGTCGTGTTGATGCATCAATGTACATATGTCATGCTCACAGCAGTTAACGCCTCGGTCAATGACTATCGCCGGTTCTACTCAAGCCGGAATGTCGACTAAGAATTACATTACTACCTCTTTGTGGATATCTAACAATGCATGCTTCCCGTGCAGATCACAAAATTGATGTCTTGACGTTCTCATGCCATGCACAGTGTCTCAAACTCTCGCGCTTTCTTTTTGCCATCGTTGTGTCTCGTAACATCTTTTACTCTTTGTAGGTTTCACATGATCGTGACCCCATCTTCAACTTCCGTGTTCGCGTCCAGGTCGTAACGTGGCCGTCCACCTTCCACAACCTCCATCATCCTGGTAGAATTATGAACCATCCGAGGACGTCTCCTGGTTACGCTCAGTCGAGTCGTCGGATTTGTTCCAGCCCTTGCCCTTCATTAGGTTGATCAGGCTAGCCTTGCGTGGGGTCAGCTTCCTTACAGCCCGTCCAAAGGCTCCAGCTCCTGCAGAAGTCGTGTTGTCGTCGTGCTTACGGAATGACATCGGCGGAAGGTCTGCCGGGTTGCCGAGCAGTTTGTGCTCTCTCCTGTATTTGTACTCGAACTCCTGGGCATAGTCAGTAAAACGAATTCAGAGTCATGACGCAGATAGAACGTACCCAAAGGCTATCTGCTGCTTGATCGGAAGTGCACAGGTCGCGCAGTTGTCCGAGTATGTAGCACGCCGCCAGCTTGTCTTGATTCAATTTGCATTCTCCCAAGAGGCCGGGGGTTTGATGGCCAGGGTCGAGTTCAGCTTTCATTGCATCGGTACGCCATTGATCGTATCGAGACTGGAATCTTCCAGCCCAGTAAAGAGGCGGCATATAGTCTTTAACCTGGAAGATCTCATTGTCAGCAACGTCGGACTTCTCTTGCCCATGTCTACTCCGCAAGCGGCTGGAAGGATAGGTCCAGACGTTTCTAGCGGTGTTTGATGCTCTGATCGGGACTCTGGTTGGTACTGGGGGGAACGCCGCCAGACTGAAACTAGATTCGGTGAATTTCATTGATGACACAAGGCTCCGTCCAGGCTGACAAGGTGTATATGTCGGCGTGACACTCAGTCTTTCTTCGTCCGTCTCCTCGGGTATCGATTCGCACGAGCTCGCGTCTGATCTGACCCTGACATGTTGAGACGGGACAGTGCTCTTCGGATCCATGCATACTGACTGGACCAAGTCCGACAAAGACGCTGTCCTGTACTGCTCCGGGATGCGAGGTACTGGTGGAGCGACTTCCAGGTGGCTTCCAAAATTATGGAAGGTTTGGGAACGTGGAAGTCTGCTCACCTCATGTGTAGTCATCGCCAAAGCATGGGATGATCGCCAGACGCCGCCCAAACCATTTGGTGTTCCTAGCGTTTTCCTTTGCTTTTCTCTGTCCGTGGGTAGCCGGGGAAGGGCTGGCCTGACATTATCGTTCGCATCTGGAGCGGGTGTTGGAAGGTCGGTGTTGTGAGGCGGGGCGGCTGCAGAGTTCGATATCGAGGGTGATGCTGCTGGTGTATCTTTTTGTTCCTCCGACTGTATCCGCTTTACTGTCACTGGCGTCTGCTGTGCAAGCTGTGAGCTCATCCTCTTCCTTACTGTGGGTGGAGTCGCGAAGCTAGGTTCCCTGCTCTGTGAATATTGTAGTCCCGGACCAAACGACCTTCTACTGTTCAGTGTACCGGGCACTGCAAGTGATTCCCTCTTCAACGTCCTCTCTTGTATCTGCGACCGCCTGTGTGATATACGTCTTTCCGTCGGTATGTTCTCTTGCAGAAGCGGCCTTTGAGCTACTGGTGATACCACAGACATCTTAGGTCCTGGCCGCCTGGGAGCCATGTATCGCGCCGACTGTGGCCCGTTGGCTGTTTTGACGAGATTTGGTGTCGTACGTGAGCGCAACTGATAGGAATGCTTCACCGGAGAGCCATTGTTCGCGGCTGCCAACGCGTGGGCAGTTGCGATGTGTTTGATCTGTTGAGAAGCGCGGTACGAGACGTGTTGTTGAACGTGTTGACGTGGGCTAGAGCGACGGCGCTCTAGGGATGGCGGACTGGGAGTAGGAATCTTCGAAGGTACCGGATCTGGCTCTGATTGAGGCATTACCGCGAGAGAATGGGACTTGACTGCGCCTTCTACGTCTGCGGCGAACGACTGAGGCTCAACCCTAACCGGGAGCGGGATGAAGCTCAGCGTACGCGATCGGGGCAGTGGCTGCGGTGTGGTATCGGTATCTGCGCTTTTGGGTAAAGTCCTGCTGAATGGGACTGTTGCGCACTCTTCGGTCGCATCGTTGGAGTGGCTGGACGGCGCAGAAACACGCATTGGTGAAAGCGCAGCTTCGCATGTAGGATTTGTTGTAGTAATGTCGGTTGCAGATGGTTCGGTAACAGCCAACGACGGTACGTTCACTTGATGACGTCCCGGGGTCGTCCTTCGCTGCGAGAGAGGATTTGATATGAAAGCGAAGCCATAGCTCAGCTTCCTCCGGAATTTGCTGCTGCTGTTTTCTTGAGGCTCGCCACCCACCGGGAGGTGAGTTGTCGACTTTTCTCTCCAGCCCACCATCGCCGCTGCTCTGTCTCCACTTGGCTGAGCCGTCTCCCACCGCGCGCGAACCTGCTCGAATCTGTGTCGATCTGAATATGTTAGCATGTCTGTGGCGTGGTGTGCAGCGTTTGTGGGGAAGAAAGACTTACCCGCGGAATGTTGTTGTGGATGATGTTGTCCTTGAGGTAAACAAGGAAGGCACGAAGCAGCCACCTCGGATTAAGAACAACGTCATGGAACGAAAAGATGCAGTCGTGATCAAACGACAGGAAGGAGCAACTGCAAACGCCCCCGAACTACAATCGTGTGGGCTCTTGGCGCAGAGCCGCCCATATGCTTGACACTTTCCACGCGTCTCTAGTCAACAGACATCTGCATCGGAGTTCGCATCCTCTGTTCGACCAACCTGAATTTGTCCTGTACCTGACTGATACCACGACATGAAAAAATAAGGAGGATATTGAGACAACAAGACCATGGGTATTCAAACATTGAGAAGCACAAACCTAAGACACCATGCTATGCTATGCAACCATTCCCTTTAGACAACACCGAGGATGTTATTATCCGTATTCCTTACTCCGAGTCACTGTCAACGATAAAGCCAGCCCTCATATTGCGGGCCGCTGCAGGCCTGCGCGCTACCGGTGCATCGTCTTCATCATCGTCATCTGAATCTGCGTCTGGCATTGCAGCATCGCTGCTCTTCGTCGCAGCATTACTCGCTGACTTCCGGGGCGTGTCAGCGTCACTAAGTGCTGCCGTTGCACCAGCATTCTGCGAAGAAAGCGGCGTATCTGTAGTTTCCTCCTCGTCCTCATCTTCCTCCTCATTGCCATCAACCACGGAAGGAGCTTGGCTGCTCTCTGCATCTTCCATATCGTCGTCACTATCGGCGAATGGCGCTTTCCGTTTCGGTGGACTCTTTCTCCTCTTGCTCTTCTTGGCCGGTGCATCAGCTTTTCGCTTCTTGGATGCGACTGGCTCCACGGTTCCAAGTACAAGTGACTTCTTGAACACTTTCATGTTTTCTTCACGGATCGCCTGTTCTCGCGCGAAGAAGGCGGCATCCTTCTCGGCGTCCCAGTCCTCGTCGTCCGAGTCATGCACGTACATTGTACTCAATGCTTTGGCTTGCTTCTCGATTTCCTTCTTCCGACGTGCCTCGGCTCTGCGGTCCTTCTCTTCGTCGTCAAGCTCCACAGGACTATTTCTTCGGCGTCGTCGCTTCAGTGTCTTGCGAGGGGCGTCTGCATCTCTCTCAGTGGGACCACCGTTGGCGTACTCTCCGTAGTCCTCTTCCTCGTCGCGGTCTATGCCGTCAGAGTCATCGTCAAACTCGGCCCGACGAGTGGAGCGTCGAGCTGCTGCAGCCTTGCTACGAAGCAAGTCTTCTGGCGCTTTGCCGTCCTCATATGTTGGGGGGTCGAACTCATACTTGCGAATGAGATCTATAGCTTCTTGCAATTGCGTTGAAGTAAGTGATGCAGGTATGATCCATGAAGCGTCCGGATCGTGGTGTTCTCCTAATCTCTCGAAGCCGACCAGGTTCATGAGCAGTCGTAGTTTGTTGTCTTTGAACATAGCGACGCGACGTTCTTCGGTATCGTGCTTGATGACTAGACTCGGTTAGCAGACTTCCTCACAGTGAGAGGGATACTTACAGATCGATGGCGGCTTCGAGGTTTCAGCGTCTGGATTCTTAGTTGCCTCGCCTTCTGGACGCTCCTCTACGTTAGCCACCAACGCCTTTTGTGCTTTAGCTGCCTCTTCCCACGCCTTGCGCTCTTCAGCTGCCGATGTAAGCACATCGCGTACCCAGCGGAGAGCATCCGACTTTGACTGATTAACAAGAACACCAACAGCAACACCAATCTGATCAGGTAGTTCCATTCCAGGTTTGACCTCAAGCTCTGCCGGAGCTCGTGGCGCTCGAGTGTGTATCTCGCGATCAAATCCGTGCTCAAGGAAGAAGATGGTTGCAGGGATCTTGTCAAACAGCATCTCGACTACCAGCTCTGGCCTCTCTTGTACTCTCTTTACAACTTGCCTGAAGAAGTGTTTGACGAAATCATCCCACTCTCTGTAAGCTGGCGAATCTGGATCAAGGCCACCTGGACCTTTCATCATCTTGTTGAAGAGCGCCAAGATATCCACTCTGCAAAGCAAGACACCAAGCTCCATCTTGAAAGCGACACGGTGAAAGAAGCGATGCGCACGCTTCAGCTGTTCGGTATCGAGGTCGCTGAAGTACTTCGCAAAGGCAACAAACGTGTTAACGCTACTTTGGTTCACGAACTTTGCCGAGAACTTCATGAAATCGAACTTGCGTTCAGAAACCGTCTTTTGGGCTTGTTGGAGGTCTTCAGTCTCAGAGACGTTGCCCTCTTCCTCTCCATCTTCGCCTTGCTTTTCAGCTTTCTTCTTCTTGATCTTTCGAGCTCGTCGTTTCGATCGGATTTGCATGTCAACGTTCTGCTTTGCATAGCGCTCGAGCATCCGCAGAAAGACATGGGAAAGCTCTGTGACCGCATCAAGGTAGCCAAAGCCTTGATCTTTGTATGACCTCAGGATCATGACTATCCTGTCATGTGTTGATTCTTCGTAGAAGATACGGTTTTGAATGTTCTCGGCAATCTCTTGGTCTTCCTCAAGACCTGACTCGGACATCTCATGCACGGTGAGCAAGATTTGCGTGAAGCATTTCAGCCCAGCGTTAAGGTCTCGCCATGCTTTCTCATCTTGACTCTTCTGCATGAAGCGGTTGAGTAGAATGAAGGTCTCCTGATTCATGACTTCGGCTACTAGTCCGTAGCTCTCATCCTCAGCAGACAGAACTTCAGGACTCTTCGGGTCTGCGGCCCTCTCCTTCATCGTCCGCCGCCGTGCGCACTCTGCTCGTAGGAACCACGATACGAGGTAGAAGAACTGCCTGGAGTGTCGTGTTTCCACACGCTCCGTTTCGCGCTCGATAGCTTTCCGCAGATGCAAGAACAGAGGGTTGAAGGACGAATCCAGGAACTCCTCGACGAACGCTTTGATGTGTTTCCGCGCAGAAGAGGTCAGTGGTACCGGGAGATCGAACTCCTCCCTCTCTTCATCGCCGGCTTGCTTCTTTCCGGGACGGCGGGGTTTATTCCACTTCTTTGTATCGTCCATCTTCTGCATGCTAGCCTGAGCCTTGCCTAGCACATCCTGTCCAGATATAGTTGTAACTTTCTCGTCGTCCCTCTTCATCCAGATCATCGTGCCGAATCGATTATGACGAGTTGGCGCGTTGCGAGCATAGCCTGCAAGCATGGCTTTCTCTTTCTGAATCAAGCCCTTGAGCTCGTCCGTGTTCTTAGTGTTAAGCTTCTTGTCTTCCATGAACAGCTTCTCAGCATCGATGCCCTTGAGCAAGAAGAACAGGATTTCGAGGATTATGACGTCTTGGGTAACAAAGTCCTCCCCGATGCTCGAAGCTATACTCAGAAGAACTTGGAATATATCCTGCTCGTGGAAAGTATCAATCGTTGCAGATCGGGATACTTCAGCTTCGTCGGTGTCCATGTGTGCATTGTTCGGGGGCGCGAGCATGGCGATGTTGCGTATGAAGTATAGTGCGATTCGGATGATACCCTCGTCTCGTGGTGTGCGTTCTCGGAGGGGTACGGCCATGGAAGGGAGCGCGATCTTGACAGCAGTCTGCAGGGTTCGGTCTCGGTCGAATTGCAGAATAGCACGTTTGTAGCCGATTTGGGCGAGCCCGATATAAGGCCCATGTCGGTGGTGGTTTACGGTCGCTTCAGTGGGGTCGATCTCGTTGGGCCAAGTCAAAGGCACGAGAAGTTCCACTGCGGTCGTCAGTACAGTCTCTATATTCGGAGTACATTTTCTCACATGTCGCAACCGCAATCTTGTGCTTCCAGGCGCTGTCCATGACAGTTGGTGATATCTTGGCCAGTATCTCAAGCAAGTCGCCCTTTACGAGGTTTGCTTCGGCCATGCATCGTGCTACATCGCGTCGATTGTACTGCCCGTCGGCGAACTTGAGCCATTTCCGTAGGTCCTTGAGGCAGAGCAGGGCGTCGTGTCCGAGTGCATACGTGCCGTCATCGCCAATACCACCGAGCTGATTGTATGTCAGTAGCCATTGTGTCAGTGGAAGGGGATACGTACAGCAGATATTAGACTAGAGACGTGAGCGCGAACTTCCGGGTTCACAGTATCCTGCGCCCAGTCATCCAGCGTTGTCTGCGCCATTGTCGTGGTTGATGCTCAGACTGCCCGCCGGTGTCGCGATGGCCCAAAAGACGCGTCGACGCGTAAAGTGCACAAGCGGGACAAACCGCGCAAATCCGCCAAGACAGGGCTGATCCTCGCGCCTTCCCGCCGCCAGTCAACGTCGTGCCTCGGCTAGCCCGCCGCGGTTCTCATCGGCCTGGGGAAATGTCGTTCTTCATCACATGTTGATCGCGCATATTCCACAAATTGTGCATTCCTTCGAGTAACTACACTCACGATGTTTTCCGTAGCCTCAAAAGAAGTCGCTCGTTGCGCTGTACGGCAGCAATGCCGCGCCTTCAGCTTAACTCCCTCTGTCGGTGCTGCCGCTGAGGTCAAGAAGCTGGGCGTTATTGGAGCAGGCCAGATGGTATGCATCAATGCACCAACCCTACAGCTGTCAATCTAACATGTTCAGGGCCTCGGAATAGCTCTTGTAGCAGCACAGAGGGCCTCGGTACCGGTCCGGTTGATTGACAACTCCCAAGCATCAATCGACAAAGGCCTGAAGTTTGCGGACAAGCTCCTCGAGAAGGATGTTGGAAAGGGCAGAATCTCGAAAGACGACGCCGCGGCCGCAAGAGAGCGATTGACTTCCAGCACATCAATGGACGATCTGTCAGACGTCGACTTCGTTATCGAGGCCGTACCAGAGATCCCAGACCTCAAGCACAAGATCTTTTCGCAACTCGCGCAAATCTGCCCATCGCACGCTATCCTAGCTACCAACACCTCGTCCATATCGATTACCAAGATTGCGGCGAGCACTACCACCGACCCAACAGATCTCTCGGCTTCATCACGCGTCATCAGCACACACTTCATGAACCCAGTACCCATCCAGAAGGGCGTCGAGATCATCACCGGCCTCCAGACCTCGCAAGCTACCGTCGAAACCGCAATCGCGTTTTGCGAAAAGATGGGAAAGATTCCTTCCAAGTCCGCCGACAGCCCCGGTTTCCTCGCCAATCGTATTCTCATGCCGTACATCAACGAGGCAGTCATCTGCTTAGAGACGGGTGTAGGCGCCAAGGAGGACATTGACAGCATCATGAAGAACGGAACGAATGTACCCATGGGTCCACTGCAACTAGCGGACTTCATTGGCATCGACACTTGCCTGGCGATCATGCAGGTCTTGTACCACGACACAGGAGATTCCAAGTACAGACCCGCAGTGCTGCTCAAAAAGATGGTGGATGCAGGCTGGCTGGGAAAGAAGAGTGGTAAAGGATTTTACGATTACTAGAAGAAAGAATATGAAAACATAGACACTATCGCGCACAATCGTATACCTGTGATCCGAAGTCATGCCCTGCAAACCGTCGCGCCCATGACATAGCCTGAAGGTGCTCTCCATCAAATCCCATAAGCTCACACCCCCTACCCTACTAACCATCGAACATCATCCTCCGAGAAGTCACCCATATAGTCACCCATATTTGGGATCTCTGTCTTCATCGAAGGTCCACCGTTAATCTCCATCTCATCCTCATCGTGCGCACCCATCAGCGGCACCGCCGCTCTCGCCAAACACATAAGGTCACGCTCCATCTCCTCCTCTTCTTCCCTCCCAGTACAAACAGCCCAAGTCCCCTTCCCCCACAACTTCTCCTTCAACCAAGCCATCTTCCCCCTCTTCACTTCATCCTCCTCCATCTCCGCCTTCAACCCAGTTCCAAACTCCAGCTCATCCCTCTCCCCTCTCTCTTCATCCTCCATCTCCACGCCACTGAGTCCAAGATCGCCCATGTCCTCACACTTGTGGATGAGCGGCGTAACACCCAGTTTCACCAACTCCAAAAAGTGGGAGTTGCGCATGTTATTTCTGGCTTTCTGCGCGGTGGGGAAATAGTAGGTCTTATTGATGGGTGTGCGAAGTTGTGCTCGCGTTCTGAAATGCTGGAAGAAGGGCTTCTTCTTCTGCGCTGCGCTGGTCTTTGGCGGCATCTGTGGGAGTGATTGGGGTGTTGGGAGGTATTGGGTTTTGGCATGGTTTTGCTTGGGTGGGTGAATGGTGAGGCGGCATCCACGCTTGGGCTTCTTTGGCGATGGTGTTTTGGGGGGATGGATGATGAGGCGGCATTTACGTTTGGGCTCCGCGGCGGAGGGGGTGGTGGGTGGTGATGCTTCCTCGCTCATTTGAGGAGGCGAATTTGCGACCATGCGGTCAGGCGAGAGGAAATGCTTCATGATGCTTGATTTTACGGTTTTGTGTTGGTGGTGGATGGTTTAGTTGGGATTCAACTTTCTTTGCAGAATTTTGATGTAGAGGTTTGGTGTGATGATATGGTCTTTGGAAGTGGACATCGATATAATTTATATATACTGCTAGCTCGGTATAAAATATGTGAGCGCGCATGGAAACCAAAGTGCGCACATGGTAAGCGGATCTAGTCATAGCAGTACCATAGTTGCATTGCTGAGATATTACATTTCTTGCCATATACATCCTACATCACTGGCCGAGAACCTCAAAGTGGACATTGACAATATCTAGTGCCATAGTTGCGTCACGTGAATACTACAGCATCTATCATATACAATTTTTATCACTGGTCACAAATGTCAGAGTGGACCCTTATGTGTAATCAAGTACCATAGTTGCCTTGACTAGTCTACATTTTTTCTACTCCAACACCGCCAATCAGCCAAACCCTTAAAACAATCGCAATACTTCCCAGCTGCGTTCGTCGCAGTCACTGAGCCCAAACGCCGTACTCCTCAAAACAAATGCCGCAGTCCCCAACCCAATGTCGTAATGTGCTCCTTAACCGCTCGCCTCGGAGCTCATCACCGCACCCTGACTCATCACACTCCATCCTGCCCAGTGGACTCCGCGAACTTGCGCTTAAGACTTTTGCGGTCACGAGGTTTTCCATTTGACGAGAAAGCTTCCTTCGCTAATTCTTTGGCGTACGCACTTTCTGTGATTTTCCTGTTTGGCTCCAAAAGTGCGGCGATTCGGACTTGTTCACGGTGCTCGGCTTGGATTTGACTGAGTGGCTTTGGCAGCTTTTGCTCGGGTTGAAGTGGGAGCGTTGCCAGTAAAGCATCCACTCGGACGGACCTGTTGATTCGCGGTCTGATGATGTTGTCTGACGGTGCTGCAGTTCCGTCGGTGTAATGCCTCATAAGCTTATTGTTGTAGGCAGCGTTGATCTCTTTTAGCTGAGGCGGGGGCCTTTGAAGATTGGGTGCCCAGCGTTTTGCAGCGGCTTTTCGGATCTTGAGCTTGCGCTCTTCCTCTTTGGAGATGTCTTGCTGAGGGATTTCGAGCCTCAGACGTATTGTAGACTTGTCTGGTGATGATGGTGTTTTCGACGGGGTCATCATGCCCGCGCCGCTGTCTCTTCTCGCTTCTGCCGAAGTGCGCTTCAGTGATTGCACTGGCGTCATGTTCAGAACCTAGGAAAGAACTGGACACCCTGCAGTCTACGTTGTCGTTGTGTCACCTACTCTGCACGCTTTTGACTCGATGTAGTCTGCAGACCTGTTCAGTTTTAAAAGTCCCTTTGTGTAAGGTGGGTGTCTCGATTGGTGAGGCGCTGCGGGAGAGGTAAGCGAGTGTTGTAAGGAACCTCGAGCCTAGACACTGTGAGTAGGAGACTAGGAGTCTTGTACCGAAATTTGCGCACACTTGGCTTTAGAGGTTAGCGTTATGAGAATTTTGCGGAGTATGAGCATGAGGTAATTGGGGTATTCCAGGCAGCGAATTGAAGTTTATAGGTTTACAACGAAATGACACATCTTGACCACCCGTGACCTACAGCCTTCTCATACTGCCGGCTACCACACAGCAATCGTAGGACATGCTTGCAGTATGCCAATGCTAGTCTCCTTCACCACTACTCCTCTTCACTCTCATCCTCGTCTCTCACCTTCTCGCAGCCACAAGGCCACAAGTGGGCGACGGCATAGCCAGGGTACTTCTTCGTGAACTCCTCGTACCAAATTTGCCATGCATCCCATGTATCCTTCGTCTCAAGGTCGATTGTTATCCCCTGGTTCGGCTTCGGATAGTGTGGAAACTGCTCGTAAATCGTGCTGCGGAAGTTCTTGAACTCTGACCACTTGAGATAGTCGTCCGGTTCAAATTGATGGCCCACGCCCGTGCACCGGTCGTTGTCGGCTTGGAAGTCACCTTTACGCCCGTGCTCTCCTTCCTTCAGATATGGGACGGGAGGAGATTGGTGGTGCTTGGTAGCGCGATGTGGTACTAGGCAGCGTGTTAGCGAGGTGTGCTGTATGGAGCAAGCGGAGTGAACAGCCGAGATCTATGTTTAGACCGCCCCAGGAGGTATTCCGATGACTGTAAGGAAGTGTGCAGCGAATGAACAACCCGCATTGCATCATGAGTATCCAAAGAAAAGCTATTACTTACTTGTGGTCTCATGGAAGTACGTCTCGCCCTTGCGATAACCTTTGCCAGATGTCGCTGTGAGCACGCGATCCTCATTACGTCCGCGAATGATTATCGAAGAGCGGTCGGGATCCAAAGGATTCATGCCAGTGGCCTGCATGAAAGCATCTTGGCGGGACCCTTTGGCGTTATATACCGATGTTTGCCTTTCCGTTTGCGAAAGCGTTGGTATATTGTAGTCGACTAGGGTGCCTGTGAACTCATCCTCAGCCGAATGTCCGGTATTTGTAGCAGTCGTGTTTGTTAGTGTGTCACGCTTCTGAAGCTTCGCGTGTGGCCGGCCATCCGGTGGCTCATCAGGTGCGCTCCTCTTCCGGTGACTAGATTGACGGGGGGTACTACTGTCTTTGATCGTAATTGGCGAGTCATGTTTTTTGTTGACGGGTGTAGAGGGTGTATTGGCCTTTATTGGTGTTCTCACACTGGAAGATCTCGGGGTGGCGGGCGCCGGGGAGGGAACGGCGTCATCATCATCATCATCATCGGCTTCTTCTTCTTCATCTGCGACTTAGGCTGTCAGTATACCTGCACGCATTAAATACAATGAGAAAGAAACCTACTAGACAATGTCGACTTCGGATTGCGTCCAAGGGCAAGTGTCTCCTTCTCTTCGATCCAGTTCGCGAGCCTTGATTTCGCTAGTCCCTCGTCCTTCAGCTCTTGCCTCTTCCCCGCGCCTGCATACTGCTCTACAATATCAAGTAAGTCGTCCACGCTGTACTTGAGCAGACCCTTGGATAAGCGAGCATACGGCCTCTTTTTGTTGCCTAAGCCGTCTTTATTGTACAACGGGATTTTCAAGCCGTTCGCCTCGTAGAACCTAGCCCCAGCAGCCCGCGTCGGGGTGGAAGGTGTAGCTGGGGTCGCACTTTTTGCCCTTGCCCTCGCAGTACTCTTCTGCTTTGGAGGACTGCTCGCGTGGGATTCAGGAGCTTTTTTCTTACCCTTTCCTTTGCCTTTCCTCGGCGTAGCCAAAGTCATGGCGCGCGCGACTTCATTGTCGTCGATAATGTTCGTTCGGTCCATGGTGTCGCTGAGTTAGACGGTGGCTGCAATCGCTATAGACATGCGAGAGTTTCGAGGAGGTAGAACGAGAAACTGAGCAGTGTGAGATTGGTGGAGAGGCGGAAATCTGCGTTTGTCTTGGACTGCATTCACAATGAGGTGAAGGTCGTAATCACACCGCAAGAAAGTCTGAGCTCCGCACAGTACACACCTTCACTCTCGAACCGACCAAATACCGCGCGCTCATAGTGCCCCTGAGCAACCAATGAGCGGGTGTTCATATGAGGAAGCGTGCAGTATTCTAACTGGCCGGGCACAGCGCAGTCGCCTTATGTGGGCCATCAGAGTACAAAGCGATTGATAGACGTGACCAAACGGTGATCATGAAAGCTGGCAAAACTACAAAGAAATCGCGTTGACACAGTGCGACGATTGAAAATACCGAAAATCGAAGTACACACTCCCAAAGTGTGTAACGATATTCTGAAGCTCGGGTAGCTTGCATGCTGTCGCATGTCGAATGTCAGCCTTGGCTTGAGTGTATCGCAACCATGGTTCTCAGTGGCTTGCGTGATAATCTGCTCTCTTTCTCGTGCTGTCTGCCACATGCTGGAAGGGAGACTACGTCGAAGTGTTGACAGAACACGAGATGAGACCACCATGTATCCACGCTCTCTTTTCACTGACACCGTATTCGTTCCGCCCCACCTGCTAAGCCCTAGTATTGTGTATGCTCTCCGGCGGGCGAAATAATCAGAAGTTTTTCATGAGAAAGAGTAAGGGATGATGAAGAGATAGAGACATGAATCAGTGGCACAAGTCAGTGTACAAACTTTGATAATTTCGCTAGAGCGTCTGATGCGTCGCCGCAGTACCGTGTTTGTTAGTGGAGGCTGACGATTTGGTGTGGCACGTCATTTCCGTGGACGTACTGCCGATAGTGAAGACGGCCAGCATCTCGTGTATTCGAAACCATAGGCCAGGGCATGTTGCGACGGAAAGTCATAATCTGAAGTTGGGACGTCTCGCATCGCAGAGTCGAAGTTGGCAAAGAGTTGCGGTCGGCGTGCCACGTGAGACGAGGCGGAACCGACCGCCGATCTAAAGGAGCCGAGGCATACCCGCCTCCAGCTTTCGGATCGTCATTTCGCGACTCTCCAGTTCCATCACCAACTTCAACCTGCGCGTGCTACTCGCATTGCGTATCGTGTAGTCAACATGGTCCGCGAGGATATAATACAGTCGGCGGTGTCTTGTAGGTTGACGCACGACACGCTCTACGCGACGATACTAACAGCCGCCAGTTCTCCAGGATCCGTCCGTTGCCAGCGCGCCCCTTGAGAAGCGCATCGCTTTCCTCCAATCCAAGAACCTCACGCAAGAAGAGGTCGACGTTTCGCTCGCGCGTGCAGCCGAAGACCCGAGTTATGCCTCATCGCCTCCACCCCAGACATCCGCAGTAGCCAGCAATGCGTACAGACCACCACCGGCAGCCCCGTATGGGAGCTATCCGCCCCAACAATACTGGCAACCGCCCCCGCCGCCTCCAGAGTAAGCATAGAGATTATGTACATCCTGCTCCGATGCTGACAGATACAGACCGCCGAAACGCGACTGGCGCGACTACTTCATCATGGCAACGGTCATGGGCGGTGTAGGATACGGCCTCTACTTCACAGCGAAACGATACGTCCTGCCCCTGATACAACCACCTACGCAACCCCAGCTGGAGCAAGACAAGGCTTCGGTCGACGAATCCTTCAAGCGCGCGTTCGATCTCCTCGAGCAGCTCAACACCGACACAACCGCTCTCAAGGCATCGGAAGAGGCACGGACAACAAGACTGGATGACGCGCTTGGTGAGGTGGAGAGTGTCCTGACGAGCCTCAAGGAGTCGTCGAAGAGACAGGGAGACGATAACAGACGTATCGAGGATGACGTCCGCGGCTTGAGGGACTTGATTCCCAAGGCATTGGACTCACAGAAGGAGTCCACCGACAAGAGGCTGCAGGAGCTGTCAACTGAGCTGAAGAGCCTGAAGACGTTGATTGGCAACAGGATGAGCTCTCCGGCACCACCACGCCCACAGAGCACCTCGGGCTACTACGGACAAGCGCAGTCGCAGTCGCAGACACCCAACACAAACGGCACACCCGCTGCTTCGGCATCGACACCACAGCCGTCGTCTACTCCTGCGCCCAGTGAGCAGACCAACGGCACGAGCGCTACCGAGACCCAGACAAATGGTAGCGCAACGCCCGCGCCCACTCCCAGCCCTGCTACCGAGAAGCCTCTCCCTGCGTACGGTAGGCCCTCGCCGGGACGCGCTGCTATCCCAGCATGGCAAATGGCTGCCGCGAAGAAGACCGAGGAGGCGAAGAAGGACACGAGCGAGAGCGGAACTGCGGTCGATGCCGGCGCCAGTGCGTAGAATGATCGCCGCTGTATTATCTGAGAAACGTTGTGCATCTTTGGCGTAGTTATTCTGCTATGTATTATTTGGATAGGGACAAACTCATGGTTACGCTTTGAAAATCATAATCTCTGTGAACTGCATTGCAACGTCTTGGAAATGCTACGTCCTATTTGTGACGATGTATTATCTTGCAATTGGCTAGGGTTCTGCGTATGTTCCCCTGGACCTACCTAAAGCATGACTGCGCATGCACGAATATCAGCGCCCCAGTTATCGCTAAAAGAGAATGCATGTGCACCTCAAATGCGATGATGTGGTTGCTCAACTGCTCGTATCCCTACCCCTAACGCAGGCTAAGTCGCTTCCGGGCCAACGTGATGTCGTGACGTCGCGATGTCGCGTTTCGCGTCAATGCTCCCACCCAACGTCGACCAGCCATCTCAAAACAAACTTCCAGCCTCCAGCGTCATCGACATTGCACAGAATCCGATATCTCATGCACGATCGATCTCGCCAATCTGTAGCTCAGACAAGAGGCTCCACACTCCCCTGACGCTACGCTTGTGTTGACGTCGACTGTCACCCTCTTTCGGCTGCAGGTGCGATGCTAGCTCTGGGTCCATGGGCTATCGTGCTGTCCCTTGCATGACGGGTGTCCAGTCCCCGTAGCTTTGTGGAGGCACGACGCAGTCTAGGGAACGTTCTGACAGATAATATTGACGTCTGCGTAGCTTCGCATAGCATCAATCGCATCGTAGAAATACTGGCGCACTGTCAGTCATGTAGAAAGAGAAGGAATTGTGAAGGGCTGCATTGCATTCGTTGCATTGGCCTGCAGCACCACCACCGCAGTATGACGCGGCGACTCTCACGTCTGCTAGTCATTGCATCGCATACCTCCGACAAGCGCAATCAGCTCCTGCCTCTAGGAAGGGACCCGCTTCCCGGATCGCCATATGCCTATCCCCTTTCCAGTGCACATCAATCCCATGCTGGTGTGGCGCTTTGTGGAGGGCAGTATGGCATTCTGGACTATGCGGTCATAACTGTGATCGCGGTATGGGATCTAGATCGCGGCCCTGCCTCCCTATTGTTTCGAACACCATGTTGCATCAGAGGCTTGAGGGGACATGGTCGATACCATGACGTAGCATCTCCGCTCACAGCATCTACATAAGGAGGTAATCCCATCTGCTTTCTTCTACATCAACACATCATCACATCTCAATCAACTACCCTCGTCTTCAACACCACCACCACATCCACTACCCAAACCAACAACATCAACACCATCATCATGAGCTCCAGCGAGATCCCCAACGGCAACGCCATGGACAACGACTACAAGTCCCGCACCGGCCAGACCGAGATTCCCGTTCAGAACGACGAAGCGCCTGTTGAGGCAACCGAGTACACCAACGGTGGTGACTCTGACGCTCAGCTGGGTATGTATCTCAACAAACATTATCGATTTGGATAACTCTAACACCAATCAGAGCGCGACGAGAAGGACGCCATCGACAAGAGCAACATCCTCGACGAGCGCACACGTGGTGCCACCAAGAAGTCTGGCACTTACACCGAGCCCGGTGATGAGGAGGGTCTTGGTGCCGCTGCCGATGGATCTGACGGTACCTCTGCTACCCGATAGAGTGTGATACCCTATGAAGAAAGAGGAAGAATTTAATAGCGTGTCTTAATCAATTTGATATCCCATTTAATCGAACCATGCTCTCATTTCTATCCGTGTGTTGTCATCCCTGTTGTCTCCCTTTGCAAAACCTGTCAATGGCCATCATTAGCACCTGACATCTTCATGTGGCATTAATTTGGCATGCACATGTCTTCCATCGTTGTCGTACGTTGAAGAATTCTGCAAGATGAGATCTGAGCATGCTATTCATTGTTCACCGTCCCTTCCCTCGATTTCTGCGCTTGCCTGTTTTGACATGTGACATGCACCGTGTTGACCCTTGCGAGCACCTTTCTTTACTATCCTCATACCCCGAAATGCCTTCCCCTGCTATACTCGTACCAATCCAATGGAAATGTCCCCTTTCACTTTCACCACCTCATACCCAGAGTATTCCCGCATGGTCTTAGCTCAGCTGCCGTTTGCTGTGGGGTCATACGTGGATCGAAAGTCACTTGTGATCACCACCAAATTGCCTGATGGTCATAAAGGAATAACTTCGCGACATACCTGCGCTACTTCCGTGACTTGGTGTGATTGCTGCTTTCTCGGTCTACATCTGCGATTGTCGCGACGCTGTTGTGACATCACGTAACAACCCACCGCCAACGCACAAGATTACCCGTTTGAGCAGGCGCAACGATGGCGGGAAGAGGAAATGCAAAGACTATCGCGAATGGTAAGTTCCTAAGTTCCATCGAGCGAGTATGATGTAGCGATCGCTACTTCCTGAAGTAGTCACCAAGCTTGGTCGAACCCAGCACAAGATCTCTATACTGATCGTATCCCAGAGCGTGCAGCCCGAATTAAAGCTACCAAACAGCGCGTCTTCATCTCCGGACTAAAAGGCGACCACACGCTCGAAACAGGCGTCGCGTACCACTACCGAGGCCACTTCATCTACGCCTATCC